TATCAGAATGCTGAAATATGGACTCCAAGAACAATATAGTTTTCTAAGGAATTTCATGCATGGAAAAGGAAAAGGCACAGGCCATAGTGGGAACTTGTCTTTCTGAAAGAAATTTTACACAGTCTTAGCAACTTGTCAAACCACCTTACTGGATATGAGAGACTAAAACCCAGATAACTATGAGTCAATGGTGAGAATAACTGCACTTTGACCAAGACTGCTTAGATGTGAGTACCCTTGACACTCTATTTAAACTTTTATCTTATGTCAGGACCCTAATGATAGACTTGAGGGGTTTGCTGGATTGCATTGCCTACTCTTCCCAATGTAACACATTAAATACATTTTTTTCTGCTTTCAACATTAAATTTGGCTCTTTTAATTGGTTTGTTATGGAAAGATAGATGGCCTGACCTGATTTGGAAGAAGTTGTGACCTCAAACTAATCTGCTAGAAAGGAGACTGGACACAATTTAAAAGAAAAAACAACAACAACAACAACACAATACAACAAAATAAAACATAAACTTCCCCCTCAGCTATTGGAAGAAAGAGAAAGAGAGAGAAAAAAAAAGTCTGATAAAATTCACCTTTTGATCTTTCATGTTACTAAGCCTTTCTCACATGCATCTTAAAGAAACAGAAAATCTTTGTTCCTTTTTTCTATACTGGGTACACCTAATTTCATGTAATTGTGTCATGTGTCTATGATAATTGTTTTAGTGTATTTTTGGTTGTTTTTGTATGTTCCTTGTGTCAAAGATTTTAACCTACTGTAGCCACTTCAGTTCTCTTTCTAAATTCATTTTTTCTCATGTGATAAAATTATTTTCTTTGACATGCCCAATTAAAATGAACATGCAGATTCAAATTTCAATATTTTGATCATATGGTAATATGGTAAGGTTTTATATATATATGTTATGCCTAAATTTGAGTTCTCTAAGCATTTTAAAATGCATTAAAATATCTTTGGAAATATTAAATATTTTATAAACCTTTATATCAAATATTTCATAAATCTTATTTCATAAATAGATTTTGATAAGGACTTCCTTCCAAAAGAGATTTTATATTTACATATGTATGTACATATATACCTATAACAATTTTTAGCTTTCTTTTCTTTTTTTTTTTTTTTTTGTTGTTTTTCGAGACAGGGTTTCTCTGTGTAGCTTTGCGCCTCTGCTGGAACTCACTTGGTAGCCCAGACTGGCCTCGAACTCACAGAGATCCGCCTGGCTCTGCCTCCCGAGTGCTGGGATTAAAGGCGTGCGCCACCACCACCCGGCTAATTTTTAGCTTTCTTAACAGTGGTCTGCAGCAGGATGCAGAAGATGAGCTTGGTGTACGGAGTATACAGGCCTTCATGTCTTCCTTGTAAAGCCAGCACACCTCCTCAGATCTAGCTCCATCACTGCCTCAAGGTCATCAAATCATTTTAGGGTAGAATTTTCAGTGGACATCTGAAGACTGAACAACAGAACAGTGGCATTCAGACTGGAGCTACCAGGTGGTGAAAATATCTTTGGTCTGTGAGAATCCCATACCCCTAAAACCACAAAGAGGCTGCTGAGCTTCTGATACATTCAAATTTCCCCCCTCATATTGCCATTGTTCTGGCTATTCATTTAATACTTTATAAATAAATAAGTATCTTTTCTTTAGTTTTTAAGCCATTCATGCTCACAAATTATTGCATGTGAAGAAGAGTGATAGGAACTCCTAATTTATAACTGTTTAGACACATGGATATGAAAACTGTGGTGGCCAGCCAAAATAAAGCATTCACATAGGAGGGAGCATGTTAAGTTGTGGTGGCTGCACTGAGAGAAAAACTGTAATTGAATTGGAGAACATCCATTTGGTCTAGAGAATGGGAATTTAAGGTGTTGTGGAACCTAGGGAAAATACCTGGGCAATTTCTCAACACTGAGCATAGGACTGGCGTATGACCTCAAATTTCAGGCATACACTCAAGAGAAAATCTAATCTAATACTAAATGAAACTCAGCAAAGACTGTATTTTTATTAATATAAAATGTACAGAAAGACAAAGTATTTGTAGGAAGATTAGTGATTGCTTAAAAGCCTGGGAAGAAAGACACAATGCAGGAAATAGGTAGACAGTAATAATGGATATAGGGTTTCTTTCTGAGGTGATGAGAATGTTCTAAAATTGACTATGATAAGGGTTCTGCAACCCTGTATTTAAAGAACTAGAGTCTTGTACACTGTACATGAATGAATGAATGAATCTATTTGACATTAGTGTTTCCAAGGTTATTTATTAGTTTTCTCTTAACTGTGACAAAATTAATTTGGAAAAGAAAAACATATTTTGGCTCATTGTTTCATATGAGGAAGTCATATGAACAGATTGAAGGAGATTTCCAAACAGCAGGGGCTCTCTCCAGGACCCCAGGTAAGGCACAAATCACACCCAAACACCTGTTTTCACACAAAGATTCTTCATTAAATGGGGAAGAAAAGTTAAAGTGGCTGCTTTCTGACTCAGTCAGAAAACAGCAGCAAATGACCTTGCAGTTGTGATTTTTTTATGCAGAAAAAAAGGATAGAGGGGACTCAGACGTGGCCCATAGGTAACTGGTGATTTATAAACGTAAAGGGGGAGATCCTGTGTTAGGATAAGGTGTTTAATTTTATTTGTGCAAATTAATTAGGTGAACCAAAGGGACTTCCGATTGCTGGTCTTCAACACGTCCATAGCTGGACCTTTGTAGTCAGCCTCAGGAGGAGGAAGTGGCCAATACAGGGAATAGACTTTGGTAGCTAGCTTTAGAAGTATAATATAATGGATTTTAGCAAGGAAGAGGGAAGGAGGGAGAAGGGCAAGGCCTACCAGAGCTCAAGTGGGCTAGTGTCCCTTCACACATGGTTTCCTTTCCCACCTGCTTGGCCAATAGGATGGTGGTACTAGAGAAACATCTTTACTACATCAAGGTCAGGAAACAAGATGTTAGTGATAACTAGTATAATCTTCCAAGGTATGCCCTTAGTGACTTAATGTTCCCCAACAAAGCCTACATCTCAGAATTTCCAGAACTTTCCATAGCACTGCCAACTACAAAACAAGCATTCAACACATGAATTAGTGGGGGCATGTCTAATTTTAACTTTTTGCCCTTTAAAAGGCTCTATCTACAATAATGGTTATGGTTTTATATAGTGTTGGGCTATGATAGATGGATGGGGGAGGGATAGAATTAAATCCCTAACAATAAAGTAACTGTTATAATTTGAATCTGAAATGTCCCACATAGGGCCATGTGTTGAATATTTTATCCACACCTGGTGACACTATTTTGGGAAGCTAAAATTTGGAGAATATGCATTTAATTCAGTGTGGGCCTTTGAAATTGGACAAGTTGGTGGGCTTGTGACAGTTAATTTTGGTTTGAAAAGTTAGATGGGTTTGGAATCAACTAAAATACAATCTGCTGGGAACACCCATAAGGGACTTTCTTGATCTGGTTACTTGGAATGAAAGACTTATCCTATGTAGATGGCACCTTCCAGTGGCAGCCCAAATAAAAAAAACAGCTTTTCCTAAGAAAACAGATTAGGATTTTGGCCAACCTGCCTTTACTTTTGCTGGCAAGTTCATCTATTCCATCGCTGCTGCACTGACTGATTTCAGTAACTATTTTCTCCTTGGTTTAAAAAGACTGGAGACCAGGAACTCTCCAGAAATCCTCTTTCTTAAATGCCAGATTCTCATCCCTTTCAGTGTGAAAATAGACATTTTTAATATATATTTATCCTGTCTTTTTGTTCCTATAGAGAACCCTAATACAATCACTTTCATCAATCAAGTAAAATAATGGGTGAAGCATATACTCCGACACATGTTCAATGGGATCTTGGGTCTCTTCACTGACTGGTGAAGTAAAACCCAGGTTACATGAGTTCAGTAATTGCTGAAAAATGCGTTATTATACATCTGCTCAAATGTTGTAAAGAAATTTCCCAGGGCCCCCTGATTTCCACTGCAATCTAACTACCCTGATAGTGGAAGTGAGATTGTGCTTTTCCCATGAATAGACTTAGGAATTCCTATGAGGCCAAAGGTACCCAGAAACAACGCCCCCCCCCTTTTTTAAGTTTAGCATCATATAAATTTTCCTTATCTCTATTGTTGTATATGAATTATATATATATATATATATATATATATATATATATATATATATATCTATCATATATGTACACACACACACACACACACACACACACACGCTCTTGCAAAGTGGAAACTGTGTGGTGAATAGTTTAAAGCAACTTGTGAAAACAGAGCAGAAAAGGACTTGAATTATATTTATATAATATAATTCATATATAGCTTGAACTATATTTATACAATTTATATAATATATACAATGAATTTGTGTGTGTGTGTGTGTGTGTGTGTGTGTGTGTGTGTGTGTGTGTGTGTGTGTGCCTTAATGCATAAATTTACATCACATTGGTGTAGGAACTTGCAATGGTCAGAAGAGGGCGTCAGATGCCCTTGAGAGGTGAAAGCCATCTACATGTTTGAACCTAAAGTGTGTGCTCAGAACGTCTGCAAGCAGCGTTCTGCTCTGTTTTCACAAGTTGCTTCAAGCTACTTACTACACAGAATCTTTCAGGAGAACCTTTCTCCGGATGCACATTCTGTCCAGTACGGACACTTCAGCTTCCTCTAATATGGCGCCGCCGTGGCCTTGTCGGAGTCTTCTTTCCGACTCCACTTTCTCAAGGAGTTTACGTTAAGTCGTTTGTGTTTGGTGATGCCCGAGCTGGCACACATTTTTATCATACATTGACGTGACTGTCATTTTCCTAGTCGTTCTGAGACACTCTCTCGATAAGACTTCTCTCTCTCCGTACGTCAGATGCACAAAGACAGATACAAAGCAGGGCGCAGCCATCTTTCGTCTTCGCAAACGCTGGAAACTTTTTGGCCCTCCTCGGCCACCGTATCACACAGGGGTGGGTGAGCATTGAGGCCGCCAGAGAGGGTCGTTCTGCAAGTATTGGCAACCTGCCGTTTTATTCTGTAAAACCGGTCTATATGACTTGCTCTTCGACTGCACGGGAGTGGCGGAGCTTACTGGAGTGGCGGAGTGGCCAGAGTGCCCTTTTGTTATGCGAGTGCAATTCCATGCAAAGGTATTTGAGATGATGCTCTTTTGTTGGGAGTTTGAGGAATCCGTAATGAGGTACCTTTGGCATTAGTCCTTGTGCATGTAGGGACTGTAGTTTAAGGTCTCTGGAGACCAAGCAGTGAATGCTGAGCTCAATTTTGGCATCTAGGCTTCTCCCTATGTAGGATCTAGAGATTGAGAGCTGGTGAATGTCGGCCAAGGCGATACAGGGTTCGGGCTTTGTCTTCTGCTTAAGCTTCAAAGGAACTGTTTTGAAGGTTGTACAGCTGTGTCTGGTGCAGGCTTTGGAATCCATTTCTGTGGAGCTGGGGTCTGGTGCTGGAGTGCATGTGGGTGGCAACTGTGGAGTACCAAGTTTTGGAATTAGCCCTATAAACCAAATTGGCATAGAGCTCCCTGAGTGCTGGGATTAAAGGCTTACCCCCCACCACATCTTGTTCCTTTGTTTTCTGAAACAAAGATACAAGTAATCTCTGTGCTGGTATATTCTGTTGCTTAGTAACCTTTGTCATGTTTTAGAGTACTTCAATTAAACTTGTGTTATATCACCAGCAGTCATAGTTTAGATGAGTTTTGTAAAAATAATTTCCTTTCCCAGTTTATTTCATGAAATAAGTGCAAAATTTTTTAAAATGTTTGAACTGGTGACATGAGTGAATTTATACTCCCTGTATTGTATGCACGTGGAGAGACCTAGAATGTGTATTTAGAGATAAGTGTTTATGAACATTTTACCATGTATTTACCTACCTCAGCAGTAGGTTTGCTTTTCAGCTTCAGCCTAAAACATTTACTTTTATCCTGATGCGTTATTTTCCAGTCCCAGTGGATAGCACACTGTGGCCAATATTTCATTTTGAGCAGTTCTTAGAAATGCACTTTTAAGTTATTAGGGAAACTCCTTCCTTCCTTCCTTCCTTCCTTCCTTCCTTCCTTCCTTCCTTCCTTCCTTCCTCCCTTCCTTCCTTCCTTCTTTCCTTTTTCTTTTCTTTTTGTTTGGTTTTTTTGAGATTTTGTGTATTTTTGGTGCCTGCCTTGGATCTCGCTCTGTAGACCAGACTGGCCTCGAACTCAAAGGGATCTGCCTGTTTCTGTCTCCCAAGTGCTGGGATTAAAGCTGTGTGACACTCAGCCAGAAGGGAAACCTGTTTCTTAAAATAGCATCCTTTATTCTTTTAAAGTTACATACTGTTATACAATAGATACTGACCATCCACTGCTCCCCTCTTCAAATTCCCCTCTTGTCCCCTATCCCATCTCCTTCTATTGCTGGATAACTGTATTGACTTTTTTCAATAGAATGTTAATTAATTCCCAGGAAATGTTCTATTCTTTTATAAAGTTAAATAATCTTTAAAATGTGTATGTGTGCCCAGGACCACTTGTAAAGGTCAGAGGGCATCTTTTGTGATTAGTTCTCTGCTTCCAATATGTGTGTCTTGGGGACTGAACTTACGTCATCAAGCTTGGTGGCAAGTGGTCTTATCCCACTGATCTAACTACCCCCAAGTCTTTTGTTCTTTAACTGACTCTCTACCTGTATATACTGTATGGTGGTTAGGTATGAAACTTTCTCTTTCTTCGCTCCTCCTCACTTCTCTGCCTCTCTCCCTTCCTTCTTTCTCTCCCATGTTCCCTTACTTGAGATAGATTTTTTTTTTAACATATAGTCTAAACTGGCCTCAAACCTGTGATCCTCCTGCCTCTCAGCCTCCCACTACTCAGTTTATGGATATGAAGTAAAATACTGGTATATATATAGTTGTTTTTGAACTATAATAGTAGAGTTGACCATCTGCCCCAGAAACCATGAACCTTTTTGAACACACATGCACACACACACACACACACACACACACACACACACACACACACACATACATACATTTTAATCATTTATCAACATACGAAATTCTCAAAAAATGTTAATGTTATTGCTTATACCAGAGATTACTAATAATAGATAAATTTGCCCTTGTTATGATGATTCGTATTTTTATACTCTTCTGTCACTATGTAGATGCCTTGGTACATTCTTTATGTGTATAGATGTTTTGCTTACATATATGTTTGTGTACCTCAGTGCTTGATGCCTGTGCAGGCCAGAAGAGGGTGTCAGATGCCCTGTAACTGGAATTACAGATGGTTGTTGTTAGCTGCCATGTGGGTGCTGGGAACTGAACACGTCTTCTTAAACACTGAGCCATCCCTCCAGCTCCATTAGTATACTATTTCATGCACCATCCTCCTCCATTAATATGTTATTACAGTATATTTTACTCTTTGCATAATAAAACCTCTGAGATATCGTAACTTAAGTGTCACAGTGAGCTTCAAATTGACTTATTTGGGAAGATGGAACCTCTGTTGGACAATCATCTCCACTGAATGGACCTGTGGTCATGTCTGTGGGACATTTTCTAAAGTGCTAGTTGATGTAGAAGGACTGAGCTAACTGTGTGTATGCCATCCTGGGCAGGTGGGCCTGGGCTATATAAATGTAAGAATGGTAGCTGAGCAAGCCAGTAAGCAGCATTCCTCAGGTTTCTGATCTAAGCTCCTGCCAAGAATTCTTACCCTGGCTTCCCTTGATAATGGGCTATATAGAAGGTAAACTGAACCCTTTCCTTTCCCAAGTTGTTTTTGGTCAATGTTTTATCATACAACAGAAAAGCAAAGTACAGTGTGGTGGTATTTGTGTTCCCCAAAGTATTGTCCATGCTAATAAACTTATCTGGGGTCAGAGAATAGGACAGCCACAATATTAAACATAGAGGATAGGCAGTGGTAGCACACGCCTTTAATCCTAGCATTCCAGAGTCAGAAATCCCTCTGGATCTCTGTGAGTTCAAGGACACATTGGAAACAGCCAGGCATGGTGACACATGCCTTTAATCGCAAAAAGTGAGCCTTTAATCCCAGGGAGTGATGGCAGAAAGCAGAAAGATATATAAGGCCTGAGGACCAGGAACTAGAAGCATTTGGCTGGTTAAGCTTTCAGGCTTTTGAGCAGCAGTTCAGCTGAGATTCATTCTGGATGAGGACTCAGGCAGCCAGTCTGAGGAAACAGGATCAGCTGAGGAATTGGCAAGGTGAGGTGGCTGTGGCTTGTTCTGCTTCTCTGATTTTCCAGCATTCACCCCAATAACTGGCCTCAGGTTTGATTTTATTAATAAGTACCTTTAAGATTCGTGCTACAGTACAGTGCCCAATTATGACTATTTTTGATTTAACTTCTTGCCAATTTTGTTCCTTTTTATTCCTTTCTTCTCTGCTTACATCTGAGGCCCTTTCCCGTTGCTAAAGGAAAATATTTTCTTAGAGGTTTATTGATAAAGAATTCTCTCTGGTTCTCCCCCCAGCCACCCACACATGTCTTTATTGAGTTAGATTCCTTAAAGTTATTTTTACAGCATGTTATTTATAAATTTATATATATATGCTTTACAGTTTATCAGTATGTAGATGGTAATGAGAAACTAAATATGATGGTATTTCTTTGCTCCTTATGATCTGAAATTACTCATGAGTCTTAGAATGTAAAAATAGAACAAGCAAACTTTTAAATGGGTTGTGTATATGTGTTCCTGTTCATGTGTGTTCATTCTCATGTGCTGCTTGAGACAGGGATTCTTTGTTGTCCTGCTGATTGAACGGGTTAGCTGGACTACAGGCTTCTCCCCAGATTTTCCTCTTTTCTTTTCCCCTCCCTTCTTGCTATAGGAGCGCTGCGATTACAGACACGCACTACATGAGTTCATGGGATTCAAACATGAGTCCCCATGCTGGCAGGACAAGCAGTTTTCCCCTTGAGCTATCTCCCCAGATTCTAGGAAAACTTGAAGAAGTAAAATAATAAACTTTTAAAAAAACGTACATTTGGTATATTCTCTTTCTCAAAATTGATAAGCCTAAGCATCACCCTTCAACTGGGGAAGCATGTACTGTTTCTTTCTCATATCCATTTTCATACACGAGTGTCTATCATATATGATAGTCTCACTACTGACATTTTACAGGAGGAAGGGACTTGTTCAGGATTGATGGTTTATTAAGCCATATGTCAGAACCTTTGGAGCACTAAGTAGATTTTTAATGCTTAATTTAAGGTAAATGTGTAGCAACATGATATCATCCAGACATGATGAGAATGTTCTGCTCAGGGTAATTTGTTCTATATCCCACAGGTGCCATATGACCAGGAACAAGAGAAATCAAGTGAAGCAAAGACAAGGAGATTCTTCGGATACACTTGGCTAGTTTACGCTGATCCAGAAGCGACAAAGACAGAGCACTCCAGTCAATGGCTAACTTCTAAAGTCAAAAGAAAATGATGCAGGCCCAGGTGACTTGAGACTTATCTTATTCTTTTCTTTGTTCTCCAAAAGATTTGTAGAGGCATATCAAAATCCATTTAGGAAAACATAAAAGTACAAATTGTAAGTAGTCCTATCTAGAGAAATCTGAGCTAAGTAGGATCAGAGATATAATGTTCATAGGATTCCAGACTATGTGGTTCATGTTGGATGTGATATGTGTTGCATTAGTTTTCCTGAAGAATGTAGACAATTATCAGTTCATCCAAGACAGGCACCAGTGACTAACCAAAGATAACTTTCCATTCAGTCCTATGTGATGAACCAATGAGCTTGTCAGGCTTATGTATGGGAACGTGTATAAGGGGTTATTTGTGAGCATTGTGGGTGACCTAAAAGCACAAAAAAGCCCCACCCAAAGCATGGGTAACAACCTCTCACAAGCTACACATATGGAGACCCCCCTGCCACTTCACTCTCTTGTGAGGCTCTCCTGCATATCACCACTCCTGCTCCAATTTTGTGATAGTAACAATCACAGGTAATGCTCAGAGAAGAGCATTCTGTAACAATCTCTAACTCTTCAGGTCTCTGGGTTCCACTAGTTGTCAGTTTAAATCTGATGTCTGTGACAGCCATGAAAAAGAATCATGAGTAGTTACATGACCCGTGACAGAGCAGCCACCTCCTCAAGAGCTGTTAATATTTTGTGGCAGCTGGTTTTGAGGCTCACATAGGTCTTTCATGGCTCTTTGGGTTAGTGCTTTGGGTGTTTATGACGTCAGTCTTCTCATGAAGGCAAAGACAGTTTTCCTACAGTTATTTCTTTATTATGACTTGTTTAATTTTGCACATATGCACGTATGTTTTTGATTATGTACATGTGTCATGTACTCTTAAGAATAAGTTTTGCTTAATCATGTAGTACTGTTTGCTTTATGCCTTTAGTTCCTTTTATTGTAATATATTAGTGATAGAGTATGCACTGTCCTGTGTTGCTACCATTGGCACAGAAGATCATGGTACACTTTAAAAATCTGTATCATTCAGCAGCTAAGTTGTGGTATATACCTATATTCCCAATACTCTGGAGACTGAGTTGTAAGGATTGGGAGTTCAAAGCCAGCCTGGGCTACATAATGAGATCACCAAACCAAACCAACCAACAACAACAATAGAAAGTAACCATCAAAAATAAAAGAGTGTCTGAATTGTTTGGGATTCACTGAAAAACCCTAGCACTATAAAAATCAAACCAAACCAAACCAAAAGTAAGCACTCCAAAAAATCTTTATTATTCATCTACTTAGAAGCACCATATACTTTGGTATTGGCAAATAGGTGTTCACATGTGTACATATACACACATAGAGCAGATGTTCCTACATTGGTAAGAGATGTCATGGCAGTTATTACAGAAACTTTTATGAAGTTTCAACTTTGTTGAATAAGTCTCCATATCATTTGAGAATACATTATTAAGATTCTTCTTCTCTATTAAGAGAACAACCACATATCTTCCTTTAAATTCTTCCCACATCACCGAAGGAATATCCCTTCATTAAGAGGGTGATGTTGTTACAGGAATCCCTGACCTTGGACGATGTGGCCGTGGTATTCTCCTGGGAGGAGTGGCAGCTCCTGAGCCATGCTCAGAAGGACCTGTACTGGGATGTGATGCTGGAGACCTGCAAGAGCCTGGTGTCAATGGGTGAGGATGGCTATCTTGTGGTATTTGGAGGACACCCAGTCAATAGCTTTTCCTATTCTCAGCTTTTAAACTCTCAATTATAGATTTTCAGATCTTTTTATACTCATGACGGAGGACAGACTCTACTCTTGTGCAAGAGAAGTCTGAAGTTACGGTTGGAAATTCTGTTTAATCTCTAAAACATAACATGTATTTTTGACATACCCAAGCTGTGTTATTTCTTTTTCTCTTTCTGTGATTAAAAACAACATAAAGGAGAAAGAGTTTATTTTGACTTTCAATTCCAGAGAGTTGCAGTCCACTTTAGTGAGGAAGGCATGGCAGCAGGCAGTGAAGGGATTGGATAGGATTTGGAAGCTACCTGGTCACCTTACATCCACACTCAGGATGAGAAGGCCACACAGGAAGTGGTGACAGATTATAAAGCCTCAATGATACCCTCCAGTGGCCCACTTTCTTCACTGAAGTTCTACCTCCTAAAAGTTCTATCGACCCTTCCCAAACACTACAATCAGCCCAGGATCCAGTATTCAAATCATGAGACAATGTAGGGTATTTCAGATTCGAACCACAATACAAACCCATTTTGATTCATCATAGTCTTCTGTCATTTTCCGTGAACAGGGTATCTAGCCAGAAAATCAGATGTATGCTCCCAGTTAGACCCAGGAGTACCATGGACAATAGAAGATGAAATCCACAATCTAATATGTCCAGGTGAGTGAGAGCCAGCAGAATCATTTTCTGCATACACTGTGGGGCAATAACTATGTGTGATCTGAAGACACAGAACCAGCCTCTGTGCTGGTCTGAGGACACAAAACATAGATATCTCAAACATAGTCACTGTTGGGGAAAATACTGCTGAGGGAACTATGTCACTGGGGTCAGGCTTTGAGAGCTGAAAGCTTCTGTTTGAGGATGTGAACTCTTAGTGTCTGGCTCTGGCCATTACGCTTATTGCTTGCTACCATGCTTTCCTGTTATCATGGATTCCTATGCCTCTCAACCTTAATCCCAAATAAACTTTCTTCTTATAAGTCTTTTCAGACCATGGTATTTTACCGCCACAACAGAAAAACAACCACTGTACCCATGGAGCCATCTTGCCAGCTCTTTTTAAGCTGAGAATCTATGCTTTTCCTCCTCCTCCCCTTTCCCCCTCATTTCTATCAACTCTTAAGAATCCCCTTCATTTTCGTTCTCCCAGTTAGCCTCTTCCTGTTCTCTGGAAAACACTTCCTAGTTGACATCTTCCTTAAAATCCAATTTATACTTTTCTTCTGTGTATTTTATTCATTATTTGGGCAGCTGTCTCATAACTTCTAATTTTGTACATAAGGAATGAGAATCATCTTTTCACCAAGGAAAATACTTTTGATTAGCCTTGTTTTATGTATGTCTTTTGACATGAGGAGATCTCACTATGTAGCCAGGCTGGTTGTGAACTCATGGTCTTAGGGAATCTTCCCACCTCAGCCTCAAGAGTAGTTGGAACTACTTAACGTGCCACCCAGTAATGATCCAAATGAGATAGTTGTGGACAACCATGCTGATTAAGCCAGTTAACAGTTTTAAGTCCTTTTCGTGGATGGCCAGAACAAGAGCTGGCTTGAGTCTCTAAAAAGTCTCTTCGTGCCCACATTCAGGGAGACGGAGGTTTTAAAGGCAGAAACCACAAAGATACATCAAAGTTAGATGAGGATCATAGTAATCTTGAAATGTTCGTTCCTGGCAGAGCGTAGTAGTTATTTTAGATATAACTTGTCAATTATTTTGGCTACTACACCAGGACCAGGGTCAAAGCAATGTAGATCTCAAATGTGTTGCAAAGGTAAGTGACTGTTGGGGGGAGGGTCTAGAAGGCTGAGAACTATCTAAGCAAACACAAAATGGAGTCAGAACAGGGTGGCATTACCTTAGGTATTTCCCACACCTGCTTTGAGTATCCCTGTTTAAATTTATGTTCTAGTACTATACATCTTAAAACTTATCTGCTCTGAAATTACCTTGAATATGCCTTAGATGCTGAGCTTTCTTCATCTCTTTTTGTTTGTTTGTCTGATTGTTTGTTTGTTTGTTTGGCAAGGTCCCTATGTAGCTCAGGCTTGCCTCAAACTCAGTTTCTTTTTTCTTTTTTCTTTTTCTTTTCTTTTTTTTTTTTTCAAGACAAGGTTTCTCTGTGTAGCTTTGCTCCTTTCCTGGAACTCGCTTTGGAGACCAGGCTGGCCTCGAACTCACAGAGCTCCAGCTGGCTCTGCCTCCCGAGTGCTGGGATTAAAGGCGTGCACCACCATCGCCCGCTGTCAAACTCAGTTTGTTTGAGTCAACAGTGCAGGGATTACAGGAGTGCACCACTGTAATCTGTTCTGAACTCACTTTTTAAAGTTCTCTACATTTTTCTGTTAATTAGGGAAGATTAATGATCTCTTGCATTTCCAGTATACAACAGGTCAGAAGTTACACTTCTGCCAAAATTTACTTTCTTCATAATTTTGCCAATTTTCAACATTTTTATGGTTTATCTTAGATGTTGCTTCTCTCCTCACTTCATTAAAAGTTTCTTTCTTTTTTTGCAAATCAATTTTCTTTTCACAACGTTCTTTAGGTCCATATGACATATGAGTCACTCATTTAACACATGCAGTTCATTTGACTGTTTCTAGTATGATAACCTACTTGTATAATTATCACTAAATTGTACATAATTGTGAAACATTTTCAGTGCACAAAAAATACATATTTCCAACGAGCTTTTTTTTTTTTAACTTGTTTTTATTTTCTGTGTATGAGTGTTTTGCCTACATGTGTATATGTGCACCATGTAATTGTCTGGTACCTGCAAGACATGGAAGAAGATATCAGATCCCTTGGGAATGAATTTACAGGTGGTGGTTAGCTGCCATGTGCGTTCTGAGACCTGAAACCAGGTCCTCTGTAAATGGTACAAGTGTTCTTAAGCATGGAGCAACCTTTTCAGCCCCACCCCCCTTTTTTTTCCTTTTGATTCTATGATTAATGGAAGTTTCTTTAGTTACAGTTTCAGGTGATTCAGTGTTTTCCAATTGTATTCTGGTGGCACCTTTCCTAGGTCATTGTATTCCCTGTCATGAGATTGTTGGCTTTTTATCAGTGATATCTGTAGTATGGCATTATCTTTTTCATGAAAGTCTTGTTTTTTTCTCACATACACAGGTTACTGTGTTCCATAAGCATTATTGCCTCAATATATTGCCTTAAAACTTGTCATATAATGATATATTTAAACAACATAATGCACAAAAGAAAAAAATTCCTTAGTGTACTCTTTATATTGCCTTCAGTTTCAGTGGTGACAACTACAAAAATAAATGTACAAATAATGTCTTATGCTAAAATGTACTATGAAATTAAAGCATCAGAAACAATAGGTTTGAGATTCGATGGGGTGTGTTTAGGGCTGGAATGAATCCTTGATAAACTGCCTCTCAACAAGTTGACAATTAAAATGGGTAGTTCCACTGTGTGACACAAAGGCAAATTCATTTGGAGGATGTCTGAGAAACCTCTAGAAAGTATTTTTGGCTTGATTATAGTAAGCAAAATAAAAGTGACTACTGATATGTGTAGTATGAGGTAATAGCCAGAAAGCCTGACCCATAGGTTGCATATTCAAGGCCTGATGTTATTCCAAGTAAATTTGGAAAGAGATGGGGAGTTTTCAGTAGAGGAACGGTATATCACTACTTTGAACATGAATTTTTCCTTTTTCTTTAGCCTTATATTTTTAATTAAAATTGGTTTATTATGGTACATGTGCATTTGTGCCTGCGTAGACACAAATGACATAGTAAGATAATTTTCTGAAGAAAATAGACATTAGTGAGGAGGGGAAGGAAGCTCTTTTATTCATGGTTACAATTTATGGCCGTAAATTGGTGCAAATCAAAATCATTAGGAATAAAACTAATGTCTACCCACGTTGTCCTGTCAGTCACAGAGCACTTGCTTAGGATGTATAAGATCCTGTCTGGGCTGAGTCCTCAGTACAGTACTGTAAGGAATGGTGGCAACAATGACAAAAATCAAATTGAAATAACCTCAATATGGGATGATGCATATATTTAATATTTAAGAGAATTTTGGTAAAAGCTCTCAGTTATTTTTTTTATTAACCTAGTTGCACAAATAATGCAGAATAAGGCCAGTAGTAGTCTTTCCATTTGCTTTGAGAAAAGGTCTTACTGTATGGCCCTCATTGGCATGGGACTTGTTTGGTAGTTCAGAACAGCCTAAAACTCACAGGGATGAACCTGCTTCTGCCTCCCAGGTGCTGAGGTGTACAGCACTATGCCCCTCAACCTGCAATAATTTTTGACAATGCATCTGGAGTGTTGCCAGCATGGGAAGCTCTCCAAAACAAGATGTCTCTAATCCTCCCGTAGAGGTTTGAAGGAGAATTGTCACCATAGGCACATGAATTTGGTGGCAATGCATGGGAAGGTTATGGAACCTTCAGGTGGTCAAACCTTGTTGGAAAATCTATGTCAGTGGGTTCAGGCCTTGAAGGTTTATAGCCTTGCTCCACTTCCACTTTACTCTTTCTGCTTATGGTATGACATTGAGATGTCATTTCTTATCATACTCCTGCAATACCTTCCTGCCTTGGCTTTTGGAACTGTAGGGAAAATAAAATATTTTTTTATAAGTTGGTTTTGGTGATGGTATTTTATCACAGCAACAGAAAAATAACTGATACACCCCTCATAGTAAAAGTGACACATTGTGGAACAAACCTTCTGGCATACACAAACACAGCTCTACTACAAATAAAGATTTTATATATCCAAAGGCCTTTGATGGAGAAAGACATATCAAGCAAATAACTCTAGAGATTCTTGAATTTATCTTCCAGTAGCCAGTCAAAAGTAACTGTTTATTTGGAATTTGTAGGAATAGAATAACCAAGATGAATAAACCATGAGTCAGTACTTGATTGTGTACCTTGGACCTTCTTATAATAATGTAGGAGAGATTGATCCATGTCAGCGATTAGTTTCAGATTTGACTATAGAATTTTTCATCTCAATTTGAGACTGAGGGGTCAATAGTGAAAGCACTTGTTGAGCATTTTCATGTCTCTGGGGACCATCATTATCACTTCCCAAAACCCCAACCCACAGAAACACACACACACACACACACACACACACACACACACACACACACACACACTCACAATTTAGATCTTTACTTTCTTTTTCTTTGTCATGAAAACATTTAAATTCTTTGCAGCCTCACATTTTTCACTTGTCATGCTAAGTTGTTTCATCTGCCTGGGTCTCCAGGTATGCACCTGATCACAGTAGCACTTTGTGGTGATATTTGTTTGTGCTGAAATGTGGTGATATTTGATTTGTGCTTTGATAGATAAAGCTTGCCTGGAGATCAATTGGAAAAGGCCAGCCATTTTAAGTAAACAAAGTCAGGCAGCACATGCCCTTAATCTGATCACTTAGCAGGCAAGGTCTCTGTGTGTTCAAGACCATACTAGGGAATAGAGCCAAGTGTGGTGACACATGCCTTTAATCCCAGTACCAATCATAGAGACCTGGAGGTCTGTACAGACAGGCAGTGAAAAGGAAGTGAGGTAGCTGGGCTAAGAGCCAATGAGAGGGCAGAAAAGCAAGGCATATAAAGGCTTGGGTAGACAGGAAGCACTCACATTTGGAAGCTGCAGAGTTGGTGAGGTAAGGTTGGCTGGTGGCTCTCCCTATTTCCCTGATCTTTCTAAGGCTTTCACCCCTATATTTGGCTCCGTGTTTTTTTTTTTTTTTTAATAAGACCATTTAGAAATCCTTCTACAGCACTTGGTTCATTTCAATTGGAATAACATATTCTAAATGCAGCGTGTTGGAATGACATAGGTCTTGTGCCTATGCTGCCGCCTTTCCCCTTTTCTGTTTGTTTCTGAATGTAATCTTATGTAGTACTTTGTTTCCTTTCCTTTTTTTTTTGTCTATGGGGAGACTAGGATCTGGGATCATTCATTTTGTAGCAGGTATCTCACTACTGAAGCACATTTCTAGCCCCTGAGTTTTATTATCTGAAGTCCTGTGAAGTTATGAGATTTCCTGCCTCACATATCATATTTGTGTTTGACTATCTGTCTGTTTTTAAAAACTTTAAAAAATAGCTGAATCTATATATGTTGTTTTTAAAAAGTATATCAATTCTTTTATCTTTCTATATATTTAAATGATTCTTTTACCAATGTGCAAGAGCTAAATACACACACACACACAAAAACAGTTTCTTTTATTAATAGAAAGTTGTCATTAAAAATCCACTTATTGAGATTTCTTTTTTTTTAAATTTGTGTGTGTGTGTGTGTGTGTGTGTGTGTGTGTGTGTGTGTGTGTGTGTGTGTATGTATGTGGGTATATGCTCATGAGTGCAGGTCCTCAAATAGGCCAGAAAATAGTATCTGTTCCCCTGAAACTGCAGTTAAAGATGGTTGTGAGCCTCTTGACCTGGGTGCTTGGGACTGAACTCAGATTCTCTGGAAGAGCTATATGTGTTTTCAAACCTCTAAACCATCTCTCCAGCTTACCAAAGCATTTCTTAAACAGTTTTGTTTTAAAGGAAGATGGTGAAATTATATGCTACTCTCTTCTTTCCTAGAAATCAGAGAAGTTGGTGATCCTCTGCAACATCACTTGAAAGATAGAACCATTCACAAAAGCATTGAACAGTGCTACAAACATAGAAATTTCAGAAATATTTTTAATCAGAGCAAAGATCATTCACCATTAAAGCAAAACTGCAGTGGGTTTGACTTCTGTGAAAAATCTTTGAACTCAAATTTAAGTTTTGAAAACCAGAGCAGAAACTGTGATATAAAGAACTCTGCTGAGCTAAGTGGAAATGACCAATCCCTTAATGCACATCAGGAAAATCTTACAGGAGAGAAGCATTATATATGTACTGAATGCAAAAAGGCTTTCTCTAGAAAATATCTACTCGTTTATCATCAACGAACTCACACAGGAGAGAAACCCCATGGATGTGATGTATGTGGGAAAGCCTTCTCTACAAAGTCCAGTCTCACTGCACATCAGAAAACTCATACCGGAGAGAAACCTTATATATGTAGCGAATGTGGAAAAGGCTTTATTGAGAAGAGGCGTCTTGTTGCTCATCATCGAATTCATACTGGGGAGAAACCCTTTATATGCAGTAAATGTGGGAAAGGCTTCACACTGAAGAACAGTCTTAATACTCATCAGCTGACTCATACAGGAGAGAAATTGCATATATGCAATGAATGTGGCAAAGCCTTCTCTACGAAGTTTAGTCTTGTAGCACATCAGAAAACTCACAGAATAGAGAAACCTTATGTATGCAGTGAATGTGGAAAAGGCTTTATTGAGAAGAGACGTCTTCTTGGACATCATAGAACTCATACTGGTGAGAAACCCTTCATATGCAGTAAGTGTGGGAAAGGCTTCACATTAAAGAATAGTCTTATTACACATCAGCGAATACATTCTGAAGAGAAACCATTTATATGTACTTATTGTCAAAAAAAGTTTATCATGAAGAGTGATCTGATTGCCCATCAGCGAACTCACACTGGGGAGAAACCATACACATGCAATGAGTGTGGAAAAAGCTTTGCCTTGAAAAGCCACCTAGTTGTACATCAGCGAATTCACACAGGAGAAAAACCCTATGTATGCAATGAATGTGGAAAAGGCTTTCCAACAAAGGTACAACTTATGATACATCAGCAAACTCATACTGGAGATAAACCATTTATATGCAGTGAGTGTGGAAAAGGCTTTGCTTTAAAGAACCGCCTCATTGTCCATCAGCGAACTCACACAGGAGAGAAACCTTATGTCTGCAATGAATGTGGAAAAGGATTCCCAACAAAGATACGGCTGATAATACATCATCGGACCCATACAGGAGAAAAACCATATAAATGCAACAAATGTGAAAAGGGCTTTCCTGAGAAGAGTCAACTCAATGTGCATCAACGTACTCACACAGGAGAGAAACCCTATGTATGTGGTGAATGTGGTAAAGGCTTAAGTGAAAAAAAAATGCTCATTGCACATCAGCGAGCTCACAATGGTGAAAAGCCATATATTTGCAATGAATGTGGGAAGGGCTTCACAATGAAAAGTACACTAAGTATACATCAGCAAACTCATATTGGGGAGAAGCCATACAAATGTAATGAATGTGGTAAAGTCTTTGAGAAAAAGACACCGCTCATAGTACATCAGAGATTTCACTCAGGAAAGACTTCCTTTGCATGTTCTGAATGTGGAAAATGCTTCTTGCGCAAAAATGATCTCATTACCCATCAGAGAATTCACACAGGAGAGAAACCATATGAGTGCAATGAGTGTGGGAAAGCCTTCACTACAAAGTCTTGGCTCAATGTTCATCAAAGAAAACATACAGGAGAGAGGCCTTATGGATGTAGTGATTGTGGGAAAGCCTTTGCCCACTTATCAACCCTTGTTAAGCACAAGAGAATTCATAGTTAGTCAACAATCCTCTTGTTATTTGTCCTTGAGTATTAGTATCTACAAAAAACATTAATGTGTGTAGAATTTATATTGGTGTATTTACAGATAAATGATCTATTTTTTCTGTCAAAGGAATAATACAATGACTGATGTAGATAGTATTGAGGGGCAGTTTCAAAAAATTATATATCTTAAAAAATATATGTTGAAAAATACACATGAATGTGACAGACTAGAAAAGCCTTCAGTAGTAAGAACAGCACTGTCAAATAATCATAGATTTGGAGCAACTACCAATTGACAAAAATATAATTTTAAGAAAGTATTAGCTTGTAAATTAATGCCTCCATTGATTTAGAATTCACACTAAAGCAATCCTTTCCTGTAGCAGGGCTTGCAGTAATATATTGCATCAGTACTTAGGATCACTGGAAGATATAGTATAGTGGTAAAGCATTTAGCCAGTGTGTAGGAGAAGTCATAAATCAATCCCTAGTAGCTGAAAACAACAAGAAACATCATTTATGAACATATTTAATGTGGATGACACAGGAAAAATATTGGAGATATTAATGAAGGAATGATACCTTGAGAAAAATGACAAGTAGTGTATCTTTAGGCTATAATGGAGCAGAGAAATGGCTTAGTGGTTTAGAGCACTTGCTGTTCTTCCAGTGAATCCAAGTTCAGTGCCACCCCCCCTCCACCCCAATCAGGAGGCTCATAACCGCCTGAAACTCAAGATTCAGAAGATCTGATATGCTCTTCTGGCCTCCAGGGGCACACACACACACTCACAAACACACAAAAAAATTTAAATATATACCTAATGTGCATTTGGGAGCAGGATACCTTATTTGACTTTTTTGTTTGCCTTGTCTTTAATTTGGTAAAATTTTAAGTAACAGTTTCTTCTACCAGAGATGTAAGTTTGAAAATTTGCAGTGTAGTGAGGTCTTTGCATGTATCATTTTACTAACTTGTATATCTTTGATTCTAATTTATTCCAAAATGCTTAAAATATTTTAAAATGATGTGACATACTGGGGCCTATTTACCAGTGTGTGGCTAGCATCAAGTTTAGGCAGTCAGAATAAACATAATTTTGAAATAAATTCCTTTTCTGAGATAAATTTAGACTCAGATTTTTATGAAAGTAAGTTCCCAAATTCTCAGAAACTCACAAAGTGAGCATATGTAATCATAGTTCATTTTCAGATATGGGAAAGGGAAATTATTACACAATTTGTAAGTAAATCACTGAAGGACATTAGCATTTCAAGTTTTTCACTACAACAAATAAAAATGTTATGAATTTTCTTGATTCAAAGCCTCTGTGCAGTCTCATTGTTTTCAAAGCTAATTATCAAAGAGTGTGTTTAGTGGGCTGTGGTAAGTGTATGCTTAATTTTATGTGAAACTGGCAGCTTTTCCCCCAGTATGTGTTCTATTTCCATTACCCAACAGCAATTCATGAAAATCCCAGTCAATCCAGTCTTGCACTCACTCACTACCATCAGTATACTATGTGTGTGATAGTGCTTGTTTGCTGCCTAACTACTTTCCACAAATTGCTTTACTCCAATCTGTCCATTTCTCAATTGGAATATGTATGTCTTAGTATAGGATTTACAGTGTACTTTGCATATGCTGAATAGACAAGTTGTTGAACAGTGATTTGCAAATATTTTCCCTTGCATATGGCTTATTTTTTCCTTGTAAGAAATGTCAATTATGAAGTCCAACTTACCACTTTTTATTCTCATATTAGTTGTGATTTTTGTGTTATATAAATATTTCTTGTCTGAAGTATAGTATTACTTTCTCCCAGAAAAGATAAAAAGATGTATTTTTCTTTTGAACCATGCCTAGTGGTACAAGCCTTTAATCCCTCCTACTTGAGAGGTTGAGCCAAGAGGATCATAAGTTCTTTCTTAGAAGACACAGTCCACTGCTTCCATTATTACAGGTTTCAAACTTAGTTGTTGATTATTATTATTATTATTATTATTATTATTATTGAATTCTAAATTATTCACACAGTATACTTTGTTCATATATTTTTCTCCCTCAAGGCCTGCTCTCAACTTCATGATCTCTCTCTCTCTCTCTCTCTCTCAAAAAACCCACAAACTCAAACAGAAAGACACCAAAACCAACCAAAGACATGAAAAAAGAGAAAACAAAAACAAAACAAAACAACAAAAATGCTGTGGATAGGGGAACTTAGTCCATGAAAGAGAGCTCAATTTCAGGAATGCAAACTTTTAGACCAGAAGGCTGGGAACCCTTAAAGCATTTGAGAAGATCTAAGGATGCAGAGTATCCACAGTGCTGAGATTTTATTCAAGGCAATTGCATCAAAAAATATTATACTATCCATAAACCCTGTTTACCAGAAATTAGAAGGTTTTGCTTAATAGATCATCAGAGAGAACAAAGACAAGAAAGTATGACCAAAAAAAAAAAAAAAAGTGGGAATGTAGCAACCCTTTATGTCTTAAATAACAATCACATCACCTTAAATTGGGAACGTCTTTATTATGGATAATTTCCCTCTATTCTTAGTGTGTCACATGTCACAATGATCTTACATGCAGAATGCATTTTTTTCCTCAGGCAAGGCTCTTAACAAAACCTAAAAAAAGAAAAAGAAAAACAAACAAAAAGCACACACACACACACACACACACACACACACACACACACACAAAATATAGAAAGTAGGCTTTTTATTGGCCAAATACTCCTGAGCATGGGGCCTTGCTTTAGAGTGGTTGACATATCCAGTGCCACTCCAATGGAAAAACAAGACAAACAATAACAACAAAACTGAATTCTCCTTTACAAACAGAGGTTAGGCAGTGGTAGCACATACCTTTAATCCTAGCATTCTGGAGGCAGAGATCCATCCAGATCTCTGAGTTCAAGGCCACACTGGAAACAGCCAGGCATGGTGACACACACCTTTAATCCCAGGAAATGATGGCAGGAAGCAGAAAGTTATATAAGGTGTGAAAACCAGGAACTAGTGTCTTTTAAATTTTAGGCTTTTTAGCAGCAGTTCAGATGAGATCCATTCCTACGAGGACTCAGAGGCTTTCAGTCCGAGGAAACAAGATCAGCTGAGAAGTTGGCAAGGTGAGATTGAATGTGGCTTGTTCTGTTTCTCTGATCTTTCAGAGTTTACCCCAATACCTGGCTCACCTGATTTATTTTATTAATAAGACCTTTTAAGATTTGTGTTACATTTGTTTGTTTGTATTTCCATATGAAGATTAAGATTGCTTTTGAAGGACTGGAGGGATGGCTCATTGATTAAGTGCTGTGGGATGTTCTGTGTGGCAAATGTGTTGCTCTGATTGGTTGGTAAATAAAACACTGATTGGCCAGTAGTCAGGCAGGAGGAATTGTGGGCGGGACAAGGAGGAGAATAAAGCTGGGAAGTGGAAGGCTTCGTCAGAGAGACACTGCCAGCCACCATGATGACAAACACCATGTGAAGATGCCAGTAAGCCACGAGCCATATGGCAAGATATAGATTTATAGAAATGGATTAATTTAAGCTGTAAGAACAGTTAGCAAGAAGCCTGGTACAGCCATACAGCTTGTAAGCAATATAAGTCTCTGTGTTTACTTGGTTGGGTCTGAGTGGCTGTGGGACTGGTGGTTGAGAGAAATTTGTCCTGACTGTGGGCCAGGCAGGAAAACTCTAGTTACAAATGGCGCCCAACGTGGTGGCAAGAGTTTCCACCTAAAACGGAGCTAAAAACAGCTTCCTAATTGTCTCTCTCAAATGAGCGGCAGCTGCCGGTTTGAGCTACTGGCGGGTTCCTATCGTGTGTGCTCCACCTGCCATATGGTGGCAATGAGGCCTCTGTAAGTGGCACATTAAGCTGCGTGGTGGATTTAGCCTTTGCTAGTACAAAACAAAAAAAGAGGTTTCTGGGCTACATGCTGCTTGGATAAAAGCATAGACCCACAATAGCTCCCAGAGCTGGCCGTAAACATACCACCATCATGTTGGGAAGCTGAGATGGGCAGAGCCAGCAGCCATAGAGCTGTTTCAGTCTTACAAATGCTGCAGGTTAAAGCAATAGATTCACAATAAGACAGATTCAGATGTAATAGTTTTCAATGTGTGTAAAATATACATAGGCTTGAAAGAGACAAAAAAAGGTGATATATACAGTTATATAAACAAATATAGTTTTAAAAAATAAAGTCTTTAAAGAGACAGTAAAATTAATATAAAAAATAAGCCATGTAAAGATGAATATTACACAGAGAATCTGGATTGTGTTGTTTTTGGGATTTTTAACTGCAGAAAAACATTTGATTGTAAAAGATGCTGAGTTAAACTAATATGTATATTTTAGAGATACCTTGACTTCAAAATTTGGATGTAAGGATGTGTTGCTTTGGAAAGGAGACTCTGCTTTTGTTCCCACAGAAAGCGAGAGGCTATGGATTTGTTCCAGATTAAGATACATCAGGTTTGACCAGCCAAGACCACCTGAAAGGTCTCTGATGATACCATGGCCCAGATGATCCAACATCCAGAATGGTTTGAAGCCAACTGGCTCAGACAATACAGCCTCACAGACTACTCCATAATCCTAAAATTTTCTTTGTGTCCCCATAAGATACAGCACCCCCCTCCAGCAGGAAGTAGTAAGAGAAGCTACGCCCAAATTCCCAAATTATATGTAATTTTACTTTAAGGTTAAAACCTTCCTTTTTGAAAAAAAAAAAAGGGTGGGGGAAGTGCTGTGGGATGTTCTGTGTGGCAAATGTGTTCCTCTGATTGGTTGGTAAATAAAACACTGATTGGCCAGTAGTCAGGCAGGAGGAATTGTGTGCGGGACAAGGAGGAGAATAAAGCTGGGAAGTGGAAGGCTTCGTCAGAGAGACACTGCCAGCTGCCACGATGACAAACAGCATGTGAAGATGCCGGTAAGCCACGAGCCACATGGCAAGGTATAGATTTATAGAAATGGATTAATTTAAGCTGTAAGAACAGTTAGCAGGCATACAGTTTGTAAGCAATATAAGTCTCTGTGTTCACTTGGTTGGGTCTGAGCGGCTCTGGGACTGGCGGGTGAGAGAGATTTGTCCTGACTGTGGGCCAGTCAGGAAAACTTTAGTTAGGGTACTGACTACCCTTCTGGAGGACCTGGATTCAATTCCTGCACCTACACGGCAGCTTTCAACTGAATGTAACTAAAATTCTAGGGGATCTGACATCCTTACACAGAAATATATGAAGGCAAAATACCAATGCACATAAAATAAATATTTTTTAAAAAGATTGCCTTTATTTTCAATATCTCTGAAGAACTGTGTTAGAATTCTGATGGGCTATGCACTGAATATGTTGATTGCTTTGGATGAAATGGCTGTTTTTACTATATTAATCCCATCTGTCCATGAATATAGGAGGTCTTTCCATCTTTTGATATCTGTATGAATTCCTTTCTTTAATGTTTTAAACTTTTAATCATACAAGTCTTTTCACTTGCTTAGTTATTCCAATATACAATTACATAGATATATGTATATAAATACATACATACATACATACATACGTGTGTGTGTGTGTGTGTGTGTGTGTGTGTGTGTGTGTGTGTGTGGTGTGAAGTACTATTTCATTCTTGGCCTCTGGGCTATCTAGTCTCAAGTTTTTGTTAACCCAAGTAGTGTTGGCTATGGGTTATATCTTGTAGAGTGGACCACAAGTCAAATCATGCATTGATTGCTTAATCCCATAAACTCTGTGCCACCATTGCCTTTCCATATCTTGCTGGTAGTACAGTATTGTGGATAAATGGTTTGTGGCTGGCTTGGTGTTTATATTTCTCCTTCGATAGAGTGCTAAGTGCTGTCTTCTACCAAAGATGCTACATAGAATGAATACCCTTATGTAGACACTACCTCAATATCTCCATGTTCAGTGAGTTATATAGGTGTTGTCTTCAGCAAAAGAACCTTGCTGTCAGTTTGTGGAGAGCAAGCTATAGTCCTGACATCAGCCTGTATTTGGGAGGATTCCTATCAGGCCCCTTGGACCAATAAGTCAATTAGATGTAACCTAATCCTGGTACTGGAATCTTTGTTAGATAACAACAAATGACCAGTTGGAACTCTGTCTCCCCCATTACCTGGCAAATTTATTTTAATCTCCTTCATATATGTATAAATTTTAGGAAGGTTTTTCAGTATTAGATTTTTATGCTACCCTGTGGTGATATATTGTGTACCTAATAAACTTGCCTGAGGATCAGAGGTCAGAGCCAGCCACTAGATTAGACATAGAGGCCAGAC